GAAACTTGTTGTTTATCTGTTTTATATATACTAGTTAACATTTGCAAATCTTGAACTCCCAATTTATCCCTTCCCACCCTCTTCCCCCTGGTAACCGTAAGTTTGTTTTCTATGTCTGTTAAGTCTGTTCCTGTTTTGTAAATAAGTTCATTTGTCTTTTATTTTAGATTCCACATATAAGTGATTTCATATGGTATCTTTCTTTCTCTTTCTGGCTTACTTCACTTAGAATGACAATCTCCAGGTCCATCCATGTTGCTCCAAATGGTGTTATTTTATTCTTTTTTATGGCTGAGGAGTATTCCATTGTATAAATACACCACAGCTCCTTTATCCCAGTCATCTGTTGATGGACATTTAGGTTGTTTCCATGTCTTGGCTGTTGCATATAGTGCTGCTATGAACATTGGGGGCAAACAATTATCTTTTAAAATGAATTTTATATTTTAATCTACAGGAGACAAGGTTTAGCTGGCTGGTTAGACTCTGTACACAGAACAAGTGGGTAGAGGAAACCTTTGTGAATTCAGTCTTGCTTGTGGCAAGCCACCTGGAATTAATTAGAAGCCTAAACTATGAATCATTTTTGAACGAGTGCAGTTTCATTTGTCCAGGGACAGAGAGTGACTCTAGCTAAATTAACATCGGACTCCCAGGAGTGGCCGTATAGAGGGACAGGAGCTGAAAGGATATGTTACTTGTCCAGCAAATATTTCAGTGTAAATTGCTTGGTCAAAGTTCTTGAAACCATGTACTTCTTATGGAGCCCATGTTATAAATAGTCTTCACCAACATCTGTGCACAAGATGTGCATTGCTTTTATTAGTGCACAAGTCAGTTAGCAGATGCACTGATTTTTTTCTAATTAGAAGCATCTGAATTCATGATTTTTCAGAAGGGATAAAAAGAAGGCAACATACTGTATAACAGAGGGAACTGTATTCAACTTCTTGTAATAAGCTATAATGGAAAAGAATCTGAAAATATATGCATACATATGTATGTGTATAACTGAATCGCTTTGCTGTACGTCTGAAACTAACATTGTAAGTCAACTATACTTCAATAAAAAATAAAATTTTAAAAATTAATTTAAAAATGAAAAAGAAGGAAACATAAGCCTTGTTTCACTGAAGGATTTGCCTATTGGGGGCTCCAAAGAGACCCACTGCCAGTAATAATACAATAGCCAACGATTTACCTGGTGCTTTATCTATTCCAGGAGCTTTATGGAAAGTAACTCACCACAGTCACATGAAGTATGTATTGTTTTGATTCCCATTTTAGAGATGGCAAAACTGAGCTCAGAGAAGTTAAAGAATTTGCCAGAGTTTATACATCAGGTGGATGGTGGAGTTGGTGTTCACACTGCAGCAGTCTGCCTCCGGGGTCTGGTTCACGGTCACAACCCTATCCCGCCTCCGAAGGGAGGTTGTCCCAGAGACAGATGAGTGAACTCGCACGCACGTGCACTTAGCCATCTGTGGTGGGAACTAGAAACCTGGTCAGTTGCTTGCTGTCCAGCTTGGAAAAAAAGAGCACGAAGAGAGGGAAGCTGATCCACCACGAACACCTGTAGACAGTAGTCAGTCACAGGGACGGATGCTGGGGTCCCGTCAAAGTACTGCCTTGAGGAAAGGGGGTCACAGCTAAGGAAGGTGGGTACTCTGGGTTCCGTGGTGCCCAGTGTCTGGGCCTGTCCCCTGTGCCTGGGCAATCTATCTGTATAAGAGACAGAGCACTCGTTCCTGGGATGAAAGCCGAAAAGTCTGTACATTCGTTCACTCTCTTCCCAATAGCAGTGGAAGCCTCTGGTGCCCGGTGGTGGCCAGGAAGGCAGTGGTGAGACAGGGTCAGTGATGATGCCCAGTGTCCAGCAACCATGGATGGTAGTGTTGGTCCAGGGGCCGGTGGTGGCTGCAGTAGGTGAGGCTGCAGAGCTGATTGAAGGAGTGGTTCGTGGAGGGAATTTGCATTGCTGAAATGTACACAGCCTTCCCCATCTTCCAGGTCCTCATGGGACTTGCCATTTGGGTTGGCCATCCTCTCTCCCTCCTTCTTCTCTCTCCCCAGAGTAAGCCCCCAGTTCTCTCCTCTTTGTCAGGGCTTTTGCCGTGTTTGCCCACCTGTTGAAGACTTGCCTGGGACCTTTCTTCATTCCCAATTGGCTCATCCAGAATGTTTTGCTTAAAAAGATTCTCTCCCCTAGAAGAACTCTCTTTTGATTTTGTGATGGCCACAGGCTGGAGAGGGGGTGTTTTGGGAGTAGGCAAATGTTCTTGCTTCTTATCCCTTTAATCCTTAGATATATGGAAACCTAGTGTTAATAAACACAAAAGCAATGGTTTTCAAACATTTTCACCCCAGTAGTAGATTTATTTTTTTAAATAATAGCTTTTGCAGAATCTCAAAATATGAAGCAATATACTTTAAAAAATTGAGAAATTCACATAACACAAAATTAACCATTTTAAAGTGAGCAATTCAGCGGTGTTTAATACATCCACAATGCTGTTATCTGTTTCTTCTGATTTGCCTCTTCTGGACATTTCATATCAACAGAATCACACAATATGTGACCTTTTGTTTCTGGCTTCTTTCACTTAGCATAATATTTTTGAGGGTCATGCAAGTTGTAATATGTGTCCAAATTCCATTCTTTTTCATGGCTGAATGATATTCCATTGTGTGGAGAGACCACAATTTGCTTATTCATTGTCTTTTGAAATATACACACTTCTGTTCTGTTTGAACCAGAAGTGGGGCACTGAGATCCCTCCCTGCATCCAGCTTTCCCCTCCAGGGAGCTCCTGACACTCCTCTGAGCTTAGCGGGATAACTGGTAGCTAAGGTGCCTTTGGTGAAATGCTAACTTGTTTCTCTGGAAGGGCTGCACCTTGTGTCAGGGCTAAGGAGCTTCTGCTGAATGCATCAAAGCTTCTGGCACTTAAAAAAATATTGAAATTGGCTGCATTCATGCAAAAGAGAGGCTGACTGGTAATAATGGGAGGAATCCGAGGAGGAAGGAGGGCTGATGGGCAAAGGATCTTTGGGGGCTGCCCTTCTCCAGTCCCACCTGAGGGCCTCAGGGCTTCCCCTGCCCTGGACAGGCAGGTCTGTCTACCAGAGATCCAGGCAAGCCTGCTGCTTTTTACAATTCTACTTGTTGAAACTCCAGCCACGCCTGGGTAAGTACATTCTGCACACACCACATCATAAACAGGTGCCAGACTGCTGGCGTCATCATGTTTCCCCAAGTTTTCTTTGTCTTTCCACATTATTTACGGCGGAATTTTCCTGGGTGCAAATAGGAAGCCCTTTGAGCATTTCACTCCTTTCTAAAAGGAAAGGTTTGTCCCCGGCTCCAAAGCGTAAGGTCAAACGAGTGACTCATGGCGCCCCTGCTCCCGGGGGCAGGACTGTCCTGCTCCCCTAGGTGTGGCCAATCAGATCACAGGGGCCAGTTTTCATTTGGATAAGCCTTTTCTGAAAGGAGCCCTGCTAATGCAGTAACGGAACAATCCTCTATGTCAGAGGCCCTGGACCTGATGGACTGGGAAATGCTGATCGCACGTTTGTATAATCACAGCGGCTCCGCACGGCTCTGCCCAGGTATGAGGCGCAGCTGGTTAGTGTCAGGGTGGAGGGTGGAGGCGGGCTGTTTGCCCAGCTGGCGGAGGTGGGTCCGCGCCTCTGCTTAGACCTCGCCCGCTTCTGAATGGAGGAGGAGAAAGTCCAACTGCCGAGAAGCAGACTTTCCGTGGGCCTCGGCCTCCAAAGCCACAGGCCATCCTTGAACGTAAGTAGCCGGCAGAGTCGTCCAGAGCCGTACGGTCTTGGGGAAGCCTGATGGGGGATAGTTCTAGAAGTCACCGGGAGAGGGTCCCGGGCACAGCCAGGCCTTCCCGCTGTGGTTTTGACATTTACACTGAGCCAGAAGTAATTTT